ACACCCCTTTGTCCGTGTGTCCATCCACTCTGGGGCACGGCCTTGGGCCCTGGACCGAACCCCTGTGACCACTCACCCACCCCTGGTGCAGGAAGCCACCTTTCAAGGAGCCAAACCAGAACAGTTTTGCATCAGGAAAGGATTTGGGAGCAGTTCCCTGCTCCAGCACCAGCTCCTTCCTTCTYTTTTAAGGCTCAGAGTCCAGCCCTGCTTGGAGGCTGCGCCACGATCCCCGGGTTGCTTGCAAAGTATTAATTTTTATTGTTGCAACAAGCGCTCTGTTTCTCGGGAGATGCCTGAGAGAGCTGAGAAAATAGAAAGGCCTGTCAGGCAGCCGGGCAGGAGGTGAAGATGTCAAGAGAGTAATTGCTCTGCCCAGAAGGAGCCTGTTCCTGGCTTCCCCGGCGCTGCCAGGAAAAATCCTCGCTGCTTATTTGATGACAAAAAAGCAAAACAGAAAATAAATAGCAACCCCATGGCTTGCCCGTGCTGACGAGGAACGGGGAGAGCAGAGGCAGATGCAAAATAAGATGCAGTTGGGCTTATAAATAGGAGCCTCCCAGCTCCCAGTCTGTTACTTCCTCACCTCCGCCTGGGCAATAGATCCTTATGGGTTGATTTTTTTTTTCCCACAGAAAAGGTAAATGGAGGCTCAGAAAGGATTTTGTGAACTTCTGGGGAGAGGGTCACACTTCCTCCTGCGTGGGTCGGGGGGGAATGTGTCCTGGTGGCTGTGGAAATGGAATTACTGAGTCAGGGAATGGTTTGGGTTGGGAGGGACCTGAAATTCTGTCCCATTCCACCCCTCTGCCATGGGCAGGGACACCTTCCACTATCCCAGGGTGCTCTAAGCCCCGTCCAGCCTGGCCTGGGACACTTCCAGGGATCCAGGGACAGCCACAGCTTCTCTGGGCACCCTGTGCCAGGGCCTCCCCACCCTCACAGGGAACAATTCCTTCCCAATATCCCATCTAACCCTGCCCCTCTGGCAGGCAGAAGCCATTCCCTGTGTCCTGTCCCTCCATCCCTTGTCCCCAGTCCCTCTCCAGCCCTCCTGGAGCCCCTTTAGGGCTCTGAGCTCTCCTTATAGCCTTCTATTACCCACGTGAGCACCCCCAGCTCTCCCAGCCTGGCTCCAGAGCAGAGGAGCTCTCCTGATGTTCCCAAGGGCTGGGGCAGCTCTGGGGTCTCACCTGAGAGGGGCAGGATCCCCCCTTCCTGCTGCCCATCTGGGGCTCAGCCCAGGGCTCAGAGGGTTTGGGATTCAGCTCACAGGGTCAGGGGATGTTGAGCTGCTCATCCCCAACACCCCCAAATCTCCTCAGGGCTCTGCTCTGCCAGGGCAAAGCAGGGTTAGGATTGGACCTACCCAAACATGGTGCAGGCACAGTGGGGTGCTGGCAGCACCTCAGGGGATTTGGGGAGATGCTCATAGCAGGAGGGGGCACTGGGTGAGCTTCCCAAATGGGGAAATTCGGGGTGATTGCTCTGGGGACACCGCAGCAAACCTTGGGGGTGTTTGGGGCTGGTGGTGCCAGGCTGTGCCAATCCTCCTGCCTCGCCCAGGGCAGCCCCCCGTGGGTGTGGGTGGCAGATCTGCACCCAAAAACAGCCTTGAGGAAGGGGCTGCACATCACTGAGGGGCCGTGAGGGTGAGAGAGGGACAGAGCCTCGGTTTGGATAAACCAAGAATGGAGGGCTGTTTTCTCCTAGTGGCTTCATCTGGGCGACAAAAAAAACTAAAAACCCAAAATTCTGGGCTGTTGTTATTTATTTTTAGTCATGTTATTTTTTTTTTGGATTTTTTTGGTTTTTTTTGCCGAGGCTTGGAAGCTGCTTTCCAAGGCAGCCCCTGGAGGCTGCGGGCAGCAGGTCTCGGGCTAACACACAAAATGGCTTTGAACGGGGAGGAGGAGATGGGAGTTAAAAGCCGAGTCGTGCCCCCGGTAAATCAATCTATCTGACGGGGAATGTTTCTAGCAGGACACGAGCCCTGCCAGGAGCTTTTAGCTGCCCGCAGGAGGGATTGAACCAAGAGCTGCGAGGTTTTTCAGCATCTGCTTCATGCCTGGGTTCTGCTGGTCCCCAAATTGCTGCAGGGGGTGGTGTTGGGTCCCCAAACTGTTTTGTCTCGAGGGGTGAGGGGCTCTCCTGGCATCGTTTGAAGGAGAGATCCTTTAATCCCAAGGGTTTTATGGGATGTGAGGTCTGAAAAGCCTCCATGCCTTGTGGAGCGAGGCTGTGCAGCGATGCCCGCTGGAGAACGAGAATCTCCACCTTTATTTGGTGGAAAAGGAGAAGGTTTTGGAGCTGTGTTGGGGCTGTAGGGGAGGCAGCCGGGTCGAACTCATGAGCAGAGCTGGGGGTGAGGTTTGAAGCGAAATTCTGTGGTTTATCAGGAGGATCAGGCGCCGTCTCCCTGCCTGACAGCCCCTCGCCTGCAAACCGGGCCCTGGCACATGGGGAGAGGCGGTGGGGTGACTCAGAGCTCCAATCAATGATAATTAATTCAATGATAACAAACGACAGGGGGAGAGGGAGAAGAAAAAACACTGCAGGGTTAATGCACCAGGCTTGGCTTTGGGACATCTGGCTTGGGAAGTTTTGGGCAAGAGCAGCTTTCCAGGAKGAGAGGGTTGAGAGGGATGTGGTGAGGAGGATGTTTTTCACCTGCATTTCATTTTTACCCTCAAAATCRCCCTGACTCCATGCCTGGTTTCTCTTGAGAGTTATTTCCCAAGTCTCTRTCTCTGGCACCATTCTGAGGCATTTTTAAACCATTTTTTCCCTGGCTTACTGATGCAACAGCATTTTATCCCTCTGGAAAAGGCCATTTCACRTTGTGGTCACTCTGTTTGCTGCATCCTACAAAGTCGGGGTCCCGTGGAAGCTCAGTGTCTCTCTCCCTCTATTCCTCCCCAAACAGCTCATGGAAGGAGTGTAAATGCCATGTTTAATATTCATGTTTTTATTTGCAGATTCCTGCCAGGACACCCTCGCGTCCAGTTACCCCCAGGGTGAGGTGGTCACCTTCTCCTGAGCCCCGCYGGATGCAGGCAGCGCCCTGGTGAGGGAGGCTTCTCCAAGGGGGAGGGATGCTCTCCCTGGGGCCGTGGGATGCTCTTCCTGAAYGGTGCATTCCCCCAGGGATGCTCTCCCCAGAGCCCAGGGATGCTTTCCCCAAGGCTGGGACATGCATTCCTCTAAGGATGCTCTCCCTGGGGCCAAGGGATGCTCTTCCCAAGGGAGAAGCTTTCCCCAAACCCAAGGGATGCTCTTCCCAACGCCAAGGGATGCCCTTCTCTAGGGAGATGCCCTCCCCAAGGCTGAGGGATGCTCTTCCCAAGGGAATTGCTCTCCCCAAACCCAAGGGATTGTCTCCCCAAKKCYGAGGGATTCTCTCCCCAAGGCCAAGGGATGCCCTTCTCGAGGGAGATTCTCTCCCCAAACCCAAGGGATTYTCTCCCCAATGCTGAGGGATTCTCTCCCCAACACCAAGGGATGTTTTTCCCAAGGGAGATGCTCTCCCCAGACCCAAGGGATGCCCTCCCCAAAGCCCAGGGGTGCTCTCCCCAAGGTTGGGACGTACTTCCCCTGGGATTCTCTCCCCATGGGATGCCTTCTCCAAGGGGGAGGGATGTGCATCCTGAAGGATTCTTTCCCCAAGGCAGAGGGATGYTCTCCCCAAACCCAAGGGATTCTTTCCCCAAGGGATGCCTTCTCCAAGGGGAAGGGATGTGCTTTCTGAGGGATGCTCTCCCCAAATCCAAGGGTTGCTCTCCCCAAGGCTTGGGCATGGACTCCCCCTGGGATTCTCTCCCTAAAGCCAGGGAGGCTCTCCCCAAGGCCGAGGGATGCTCTTCCCAAGGGATGCCTTCACCGAGGGGGAGGGATGTGCATCCCTCTCCCCAAACCCAAGGGATGCCCTCCCCAGGGGATGCCTTCACCGAGGGGGAGGGATGTGCATCCCTCTCCCCAAACCCAAGGGATGCCCTCCCCAGGAGCTTTCCTTGCCCAAAGCTCCAGCTCCATGCCCGGAGGTGCTGGCAGCTGGTTCCCTCCRAGAGGTGCCGCAGAGCAGCGGGGTCGGGAGGGAGGTTGGGGACGGCCCCACTGCCCTTCCTGGTGCCAGCCCCGCCACAGCCACGCCACCCCAGCACCCTTGGGCCACCCCCTCCCCTCGCCCACGCTTTCGGCTGCACTGAGCCCCCACCTCCGGAGATCCAGCTGCTCACCGGGACATCTCCACCGCGCCCTGACCCCTCCATCGTCACACGGCCACCGGGATCCCTTCTCCGGGGTGCCAAGGGCTCCGCTCCAGCTGCCACCATCGCCCCCTCCCACCCACGGGTGCTGATCCCACGGGGACGGGGGGCGAGCGGGTCGGTCGGGGCGCAGGGACGGCGATGGGAAGCGATAGGTGAGCGGGGTGGGGGGAACCCGGCCGGCCTGGAGGGGTCAGGGTCCTTCTAACGCTGTTCCATTTCTCTGTGACCAAGGCAATACTACTCCTGTCTCCGTCTGTCCTGTTCGCATGCCTGTCCAACGTGTAGAGTTCAATAAAGACATCCATGAGCTGAGTCAGCTCCCGTAGCCCTCCCGCCTCCCTGTGTCCTTGCCTCCGGCTCCCTGCCTGCCCACAGAGTCCTGGCCCAACCCTTGGGTGTCCCTGGCGGATTTTGGCCGTGGCATTGCCTGGATGTCGCCTGGATCACTGCAAGAGAGGTGGTTCTTCCTCCCCACTCTGCTCTCRTTGCCTAAAAAAGGGCTCACCTGAAACAGAGGCCAGACAAAGTTAAGAGAACAAAAGCTGACAAATTTAATCCAGGCCTGCAGGTACATTGAGGGCAGAAAAAGCCTCCTCCTGAGGCTACACCCAAAATGGACCCCGAGTCACAAGATCTTCCCCTTTTATCAGTTCTGTCTCATGAACACATCAGGCCCCAATTCTCCAATGACACCTTCAGGTGATGATGTCGAAATCCCCAAGCTTGCTCCCCCCCAATTCTCTGTTATTTCCATATTTTGGGGCTCTGAGGCAGTGAGATGTCCTTGGATTTCAGGCCCAGAGAGGAATTGTTTTGTCTAAAGATGGGGGAACAGGAGCTTTAGCACTGTACTAGAGACGTACAAGAACACAGATCCATGAAAATATAGAAACCAGAAATCCTAAGGCATCATCATGATGAGAGAGATGCTGCATCCAGGTCTGGTGTCCCTGAAGTAAAAAGGACATGGAACTGTTGGAGCAAGTCCAGAGGATACCGTGAAGTCAATAAAGAGATTAGAGCACCTCTGCTGTGGAGACAGGATGGGGGAATTGGGGCTGTTTTCAGCCTGGAGAAGACAAAGCTGTGGAGAGATCCCAGAGCACCTTTCAGGATCTGAAGGGGCTACAGGGAAAGTAGAGAAAGACTGTTCATCAGGAACTGGAGTGACAGGACGAGGGGGAGCAGCTTCAAGCCAAAACAGGGGAAATTTAAGTTCGATTTTGGGAAGGAATTSTTCCCTGTGAGGGTGGGGAGGCCCTGGCACAGGGTGCCCAGAGAAGCTGTGTCTGTCCCTGGATCTCTGGAAATGTCCAAGGCCAGGCTGGATGGGGCCTGGAGCACCCTGGGACAGTGGAAGTGTCCCTGCCCATGGCAGGGGGTGGGACTGGGTGAACTTCAAGGTCCCTTCCAACCCAAAGCAGCCTGAAGATCTTGGGCTTCCACCTTTGACAACCTGAGGTCTTTGATTGGTAGCATGGGAAGAGACCAGGATGGATAAAACCAGGGAGAGAATTGAAAAGCTGCCAYGAGACTGGAAAGAAAACATTTCCAAATGCGAACAATCCGTGGCTGGAGGCCAAAGAGCAATTACAGAGAGAGCCTTGCTCCGAGAGTCTCCGGGACAGCCCTGTGTGCCAGACCCAGCTCCAGATCGTGGCCACGGGCATGGATCAATCACGGGATTGATGCTGGGTGCTGGTTTGGCTGATCAGAGAGGGTCACACAGGTGCTGACACCCTGCACCCCTGGGGTTCCTGTCAGGCAGAGTTTGGGGACCACGAGTGCTTGGACACCTCGGAGGAGAATCATCTGTGTGACCTGGAGGGGACAGGGACAGCCCAG